AGAGAGAGAGAAAGCGGGCAGGACCGGCCCTGGACCACGAGCTGATAACTGCAGCGCTGTACCTGATAGGGTGGTCGCCACACGTCTTGGGCCGCTCCATGACGGACACCCACTTGTCATCGTAGCTGAAGAGCGACAGATCGAGGTAGGGGCTGCCGCTGTAAGACTGGGCACTGATGGGGAGCTGGCCGAGCAGCCGGCGCACGGCCTCGGTGTGCCCTCCGTACTTGGCGTTCACAATCGTGTCTTTGAACCTGAAAGAAAGCACCAGTGATGAAGGCTGTGTTTGCGGACACACGTTTTTTTTTAAAATGACCAACCTATGTCTAAAAACAATTCATTCTGTCAATAAAAGTCCGGATACTGACCGAAGTCAGAACTCACACATAGCACAAGCCTGGCTAGCTTCCAGTACTCTCAAGAAGCAGAAAACAGAATTAGAAATGGGGAACATTACTTTAGAAAAGTTAAAAAAAAAAAAAAAGACTCTACAAACAAGTTTAAAATGCGTGTAACTGCCCGGTCGGTGTGGTCAGTGTCTGGCTGCTGGCCTGGCACCCGGAACTTCCCTTTCCCGTCATCCTTGGCATTCTCTCTGCTGCTCTCCACTGTCAGACTGCACCATTCCTTTGTGTTTGTTGGTAAAACGCATCTTCCAGATGCTTCCTTAGAAAAGGGGCATGGGAGGTGATTATTTGAGACAACATGTCTGAAAATGTCTGTGCTCCACTGATTATTGGAATTCCAAATTAGGAGTCATTTTTTTGGAGAAGTCTGAGGGCAGGATTTTATTTATTTATTTTTTTAAATATATTTTATTGATTTTAAACAGGAAGGGAGAGAGATAGATAGTTAGAAACATCGATGGGAGAGAAACATCAATCAGCTGCCTCCTGCACATCTCCCACTGGGGATGTGCCCACAACCCAGGTACATGCCCTTGACCGGAATCGAACCTGGGACCCTTCAGTCCGCAGGCTGACGCTCTATCCACTGAGCCAAACCGGTTTCGGCGAGGGCAGGATTTTCATGGCTTCAAGCTTTCAATGTTGTGACTGGTCTGACCAATGCCATTCTGATGACTTATTTTTTTATATGTGAGATGTTTTTTTTCTGAAATTTTTTACAATTTTCTCTTTATCCCCAGTGCTTCGAAGTTTCATGACGACATGCCCTTCACTTTCTTGATGAATCCTCCTGGAATTAGCCAGATAGTGGGTCGCCTGGGCAAATCCTCTAACTTCTTTTCCATCTTTTCTCTCCCATTTTTATTCTCTTATCTTTTTACATTACTTTCTTGGAGAGTTCTTCAACTATATCTAAGAAATTTTAAATTTCTAAAGTGTCACTGTCCTAGGAATGTTCCTGTTCTTATGGCTTGAATTATTTCAGTCACCACATGTTGTTTCTTTATTCCGTTTGTTTTAGTTTGGTCTCTATACCTTTCAAGACAAAGATTTTCTTAAATGACTCATGATCCTTGATAACTTATTTTCTCTGAAACATTTCTTCTAACCGATAATGGATCCATTTTCATTTACCTCCACCAAAAGATTTTTGAAGACTATAAAATTGAGCATTTAGAGCCATGTGTTCCCAAGAAAAAAAAATAGTTTTAATTTATATATACATTATATTTTTGATGCAGCAAAGTAGGATAAGATGATACACAAAATGTTACATTAGGGGAGAATTCTGTAGGGGAGATGACATAGATATATGGAATGGAGGATAAGATTGTCGCATGGTTTTCTGAAGTAAATGACTATTGATGTCACAGCAACAAATTAAGAAAATTTAAGAGAAATTAGGCCTGTTAAGCCCGGTGGGACAGCTTACCGGCGCTGGATCTGCCTTGCAAAATTGTTGCTGGAAGCTGAGCAGGGAAACTGGACTTCGCTGTGCAGGGTAGCGTTCCGGAAGAGGTCACAGAAGTTCTCAAAGAGCTCCAGGAGCTCGTCGGACGTGTTCTCAAACACCGCGATCACCTCTGTTGTCACCATATTGTACACCACAAAGAAAGACGCCTGCAGGGGAACAGAGAGCGCTAAGGGACGGCTGAGTATAACATGCCTGTCCAACCTCACTTGGCTGAGAATTCAGGCTACCCCAGGGAAACATGAACCACCTCCGCTCCAGCACCACGGCTCCAGCATGGCTCCCCGTGTTTCTGGGAAAAGGGGGGGGGGGGGGCGGCCTTGGATGGCTTTCTTAGTCAAGGCTTCGTGTGGCCAGATGTCCCACTGTATCTGCGCTGCTGAAATGATTGAATTGGCCAGCATCTAGGTATGAAAAGGCTTTCCATCTTCCATTTCCAACTGTGCAAATTCAGTATTTTTCCTTCCAAGTGTTCACTCCCTACTTGCTCCCAGCCCACCCTGAGACAGATAAAAAATGCTTTCTTAAAATGCCAGATTTAATTTCCTTCCTGCTGAGAAAGTGATTTGCGGCCTGGGGTTGCCTGTTGACAGATTATGTTCTCTTGTATACATACATCCAGCGGAAAGTTCAATTTCAGGGCATTTACTTTTCCTCTTACTATTTCTAGCATGCAGAGAGCCGCCTTAAGTACGTTTTGCCCTAAAGCTGCCCAGGCAAGTTGAAACCAAGCAGGGCACTGCTGCTGAGCAAATGAAAACTCAGAGAGGATTTTCTATTTCTGTCCTACATGTTCTTTCAGCCCAGGCATTTGTAGATACATTTGCGATTTATAGCGAATCTTAGAGGAGGGAGCTGACAAGCTCTCCAATGCCATGGGGGCAGAGCTACCGATTTTTCTGCAGGACCCCTGGGTGAGGAGCCTCTTCCTTTAAACCTCCAGTGCTCTGCTCAGCCGACCAGGGCAGCACCGGAACCCACAGTTTTTGTCAGCGAGTGTAACAGGGCCATCCATCCGCAAGCTTCCAATAGGCCTCCAGACGTTTCCAGAACACTGAGATTAGTGGTCCCCCTCCGATGATTAAGTTTAAATCTCCATTAACAATTTCTGGTGCCATTTGGCCCACCTGTTTGACTAGTCATTAGTCCTTCCCAGAGCTTATGTTACATGACTTTTGTGAACCCCTGGAAATTAAATTTGGCTGCAAATGAAAGAGGCTGGGGGGTAACCTGAGACTAATGCCCCTAATATTAGCCAGGCTTTGTTTTGGATGCACTTTTTACTCATTAACCTTATTGGAACCTATCAAATTAAACTGAGGCGGAAAAGACAACTAGGGCAGAGAGATTGGGTTTAAAGTTACAACCTCTGGGAAGCAAAGCACAGGGCCCTAGCAATGTTTCTGGCTCCAGCTTTCAGAAAGAAATAGGTCATGGTTTAGCAAAGAAAAAGTGGATACTATAAGTGCAGCCATTACCGTATTCCCTCCAAAACAAAAAGGTCATCATAGCTCAGACCTAAACAAACGTGGACTCGTGTCCTTTCTGCAGAAGGGACCACACTTCGGTCCTATCAGGGCTTCGCAAGATCTACCGTCATCATGTGACCGGAGAATTACACCAGCATCTCCTAAGCCTCCCTCCGGGACACTGGGAAACACGGACAGGAGGCTACAGAAGCCGGGGTCTCACCGCCAACCTCCCAGGACAGTAAGACGAACTGGATGCTCCCCCACGGTGGCTCCGCGGGTGCCTTCCTCACTGACACGGAAGAAAAGGAGTCCAGAACAAAACGATCTCTAAACCACAGCACTCCCCGTTTTGTAAAGAATTCCTGAACTACGACTCGGAAGAAAAATGTCGGAAACATTTCACCACAGATGGCTGGTCAGGCCTTAGGAGCGAGGGCCCTGTCCAGTCTCTCTTAATGGCAGAATCAGCCGCAGGCCAAGGAGCGATACCGACTTCAGTTTGCCCTCTGTACAGAATTTGCAAACTAGCATCTAAGGAGACAATCTGGAAACAGGAGCATGGGGCAAAGGTACAGAACGGTGGTCTCTTACTCCGTCTACACGGACATGGAGAGTTCTTAAAGGGAAATGCCCTTGCCCTGGCCAGTGCTGCACAATGGTCAGTGTCGGCCCGTGCACTGTAGGGTGGCAGGTTCAATTCCCGGTCAAGGGCATGTACCTGGGAGGCAGGTTCAACCTCCAGCCCTGGGTGGGGCGTGTGCAGGAGGCAACTAACTGGTGTGTCTCTCTCACATCGATGTTTCTCTCTCTCTCCCCCTCCTCCTTTCCTCTCTCCCTAAAAAAAACCAACAGAAAAAATATCCTTGGGAGAAGATTAACAAAACAAAAAAAAAGAGAGACAGAGAGAGAAATGTTAAGATTACCCTGAATTTCAACACGATGTTTCAATCCAAGAATCTTAGAGGTTTCCGTGCTCTTACCAACATCTTATTCCCAGTAAGAAGTGCCTCTCTCCACTACCAACATCTTTCACTCAAACTAAAAAAAACCTCAGGACCTGGAGTCCTGATGAATCACTTGGGGGATCCAAAATTTGGGATCCTTTTGATCTTTTACTGCTCTTCAACCTGTACCTTTCAGCACGTGGCAAGGTCAAGGTCAAGTCATAAAACTTAACTCTGTGAAATGAACGTGCCTAGCAGTTACCTTTGGAAGAAGACTTGTGAAGAAGTAGACTGACATTAACCATTTAAGCAGGAAAGAGCAGCTAGATTTTCAGAGGGTTTCCTGCCTGTGTGTGTTGGGCTCATTCTTTCTGCCAGAACTAAAACAGTCAGACTAACAAGGACAGTCTTACAAAATCAAGGCAGGATGATCCACAGGCAGTCCACACGTTAACCTCGTAGCGTTCGGGCTTCCACCTCAAGGGTCCTAAAAATGCTCTGCCGTCCGGCCGGCGTGGCTCAGTGGTTGAGCATCAACCTATGAACCACAGGTCACAGTTTGGTTCTGGTCAGGGCACATGCCTGGGTTGCAGGCTCCATCCCCAATAGGGGATGTGCAGGAGGCAGCCAATCAATGATTCTCTCTCATCAATGATGTTTCTATCTCTCTATCCCTCTTTCTTCCTCTCTGAAATCAAGAAAAATATTTTTAAAAATAAAACAAAATTAAAATTAAAATGTTCTGCAGAAGGTAGAGGGCAATAATCACAGAGGTGACGATCTACATATCAATGGCTTGAGATTTAAGAAATACATGTGGGCAGAGAAAAACAGAGCTGTTTTAAGTTGGACTGAGCCCTAGGATAGCAGAAATTTTTTTAAAAATATATTTTGTTGATTTTTTTTTTTTTTACAGAGAGGAAGGGAGAGGGATAGAGAGCTAGAAACATCGACGAGAGAGAAACATCGATCAGCCGCCCCCCCCCCACCCCCCGCCGCACGCCTCCCACTGGTGATGTGCCCGCAACCAAGGCACACGCCCCCGACTGGAATCGAACCCGGTACCCGTCAGACCCCAGGCCGACGCTCCATCCACTGAGCCAAACCGGTCAGGGCACAAATATTTAAGATTACACAGAACGTGTATTTCTGAGAGGTTGGCTATAGACAAATAGAAAAGCCGTCACATTCTGCCAAGGAGACTGGGGCGGGGGAGGTCACAGGCAGGAGAGCGCCGCGTACCTGCGAGGGGTCTGTGACCCGCAGGGTGACCACGTCCTCGCTCGTGTACTTGATAAACAGGTGGTTCTCGTCCAGAAGCTGCATCTTCCACATGCGCAGCTGCCGCAGTTGGTCAAAATACTGGAAGAAGCGCCGCTTGGCCATGGCGCTCCCATCCTGCTCTGCGCGGCGCCACAAGTAGACGAGCAGCCGGTGCTTCAGGGAGTTGATGAAGGGGTCCCGGAAGGGGTTGGCCATGCCCGTCTGGCTGTCCCGCTGGACCTCGGGGAAGATGGCGGAGACGGTGAGCAGGTCGTCCTCATAGCAGAAGCGGCCGATGGTCCGCACGTCGATGAACGTGCCTTCGGGCGTCACCTGGAAGACGTGGATGGTCTGCTGCTGCACCGACAGGATGGCCAGGATGTTTTTGTACAAGTACAGCCCTTGGTTGTGAGACAGGACCACTTTATCACACTTGAAGGTGCGCGTGTCACACAGGCGGCCGGTGTGGAGGTCAATGATGTGGAGGGAGTAGTCCTCCAGAGGGGACCGCGGGTTGGGGGTCACGGACTCGCTGTTCCGGTAGACCTCATAGAAAGGGGGGTGG